CAAACCAATAGAAACAATTGATTCTTTTGATCCATTAGAAAAGCCATCATCACCTACTAAAACACATTCATTTTTAAGAGTATTCCATTCATATAAATCTTCACATGAGTTACAGAAACTTTCATTTTGGCAACTCATACAATGAGGTAAACAAGGATTACATTTATTACCATTTACATAATAACCAACTTGACATAAGTCACAAGTAATTTCATTACAGCTAAGACAATGATCAGCACATTTATGACATGACCCTTCACTCTTATAATACCCATCAGTACATTCCTCGCACTTGCCATTCCTACAATAAGAACACATAGGAAATACTTCCTGACATTCTTTACATACTCCATTTTCAAGAACATATTCTGGATCACATTGATTGCAAACAACACCATCACAATACAAACAATGACTATGAAGAATTGAACACTCACAACAGTCATGCTCATTGCAATGATAAGTACTTCCAACACACCCACAATTATTTGAGATTGAAGCATTTCCTCTACAACTTCCTTCACATACAGCATAATTCTCCGTACAAGTATCACAATCACCTCTACAAGGTTGGCACTTGTCAAGAATAAAATTGTAACCAGTTGATGGTGAACAAACACACTCATTCCTCTCATTCATCTTAAACCCATTTGCTTCATTACATTTTAAACATTTTGTATCATCACAATTTCCATCTAAACAATGACTATAAACTGAAGAACATTTTACGCACTTTCCTGAGATTTCAGTATAAGGGGAAGCACACCCACATGAAGCACCATTGTCTTTTGGTTCGTATTTATTTTCACACGTAGTACAACTATTTGATGGACATTCTAAACAATGAGGGATATCAGGACATGCTAAATTATTAATATAATTATAATTTTTTCATTAAATTGTTATATAAAGAACAAACCACTCACACACAGCTTTGTTTTTTCATCTAATACATATGGATTTTTACAAGAAGTACATTCACCATTGGTCTCATTACAAGAACTACATTGAGGGTTATTGTTAGTACACTTTTGACAAATACCTTTTGCAGAATCATAATATCTGTTATTATTGCAAACACACACCCCATCAACAACTTTAGAATAACTAGGACATCTGCATTTTTCATCTCCTCTTTCAGGGATTATACAAGAGCTATTAATAAGTATACAGTCACTAACACAATCACTACAGACATAATTTCCATCTGAGTCTTTTGAACAAGAAGAACAAGTTGAAAGGATCTCAGGACATGTTTCTGCATTTATTACCACCAACAAAAAAAATAATATAATGAATTGACTCATTGTGATGGTATAAGGAATTAAATAAAGTAAATATCTTCAAGTTTTTACAATAAAGGAAAACGTCCAGTAGAATATTCTTTTAATATTCATTAAAATTTTAGGTTTTGCAACACTTAAAAGATTACATAGAATAATTGGAAAAGTACTTTAATTGATTTATAAGGATATAAAATGATTTTAATTTAGGAATAAACAGTATTTATTTAAATAAGTTAAAATTTGAAGAAGTTTTTAGAATGAAAAGATTTATATCACACAAATCTTAATACCTGAAGCGTTTTTGACAAAAATTCAAGATTGATAAAAATCTTTTTTTCCAAGACGTTCTATAAAAGAAATTTAGTTGAAAATAAAGAAAGGAAGTTAACAAATGAATTACTAATTAGGTTTTAATATTTTATTTTATATATAGATAAAAATAGATAATCCAGAAAAGAAAATTTTTGGGGTTTTTTGATTTATTAAAAAAGACTACATTTAAATAATATAAATTAATTTCTTTTTTTTTTGACTTTCTTAATTTTGTCAATCTTTAAGATTCAAAATCCCGAGTGATGTTTATGTATTTTGTCGTATTTTATAAATACCTTTAAATGGCATAACCTTTACATTCTATGTAAATAAACATCACCCAAGTAACAATGAGGTTAGTATTTGTTCTGTGCAATAAAAAATTCTACCTAACATAAAAAAAGAGATGTGAGACAATCAAAAGAAAAAAGTTATTGAAAAGGTTAGTGTTGAGAAATAATGAAAATCAGAATGAAAAATTGTAATAACAAAATATTATTGAAAATAAGATTAAATAAAATGTTGTTACATCTTATTTTTTATTGCCTTAACCCAACATAAAGAATTGTAAAAAAATTGATGAGACTTAACATTATATTAGTATCATAAGAGTTACTAAAAAACATCTCATTTAAAAAAGATACCACACATTTTATTACTACTGAGAAATACATATTCTAGTAATATCAATAGTTTTAATATCTATGGTATTGTTCCTTTAACATATAATTATATTAAATTTTTAATACTCTATTGTTTTATTGATTTTATTGAATATTAACATTAACTGTTACATTGGTATGAATAATTTATTCACTACTATTTTTGAATTTTATTACTAATTTCATTGAAATGTGAATAACTTTTGGGGTATATCATATTATTTTAGTTGTTGGCAATGTTACTTATTTCTAAAGATGTTATTTTTTATTTTCATTAATTATTTAATTATATTTGTTATGAGTATATCTTAGTTCATTATTTCTATATTTTCAAATAACAGTGCTTGTTGTTGAACCATTTATTATAATGGATCATTTAATAATATATTGGATATTATGAAATGAATATAAACAAGTTATTATTTTAGAGATAATAGAGACATTTCTAATGATTCAACAATCACATGATAATACACAAATAGCATCATCATTATTATTGATGAAATATGAAAATATGATATTAAAAAATAGGCAAATAAAAAAAGAGACAATAAATATTTCAATTAGTAATAACAAAGAAATACTAAAAATTTTAAATGTATTTCATTTATAATAATTTCATTCTCTTATGAATAAACTATCTTTATTCAAATACATTCATTGTGTTTATTATTTAAACCAATAATTATATTTATTTAGATGAATGTTTGTTTATATTGTTTGATTTGATATTTATTAATGTTAACATTTCTTATTAAGTCTAAATGAAACAAAAAATACAATTAAATCGTTGTATATTTCAATTAATTCTAATTGAAAACAATCAACTTGTTTATTATTCCATTAATAACATTATTACAATTCTATTTAATTTATAATATTTCTTTACTTTTATTTATTTTTATACTTTACAATGAATTTTGTAACATAATACAACTAATAAATAATACTTATTGATGATATTATCATTATTTATTATTATTGATGAAACTATTATTCATTTATAGTTTAAGTATAGAATGGTATTGAATAAATTTATTATAA